ATAATTTCATATATATATGAAACGTTGTATCCAACTGTATACAACAAATATCAAGAAATGCAAAATCAATTAGCCACTAACACAGTTGTTTTGGGGAAAAAACCAAAAATGTTATAAATGTGTGGCTACTTTAGCCCTATTAAGAATATTCAGTTAATTATTGGAACATCCAGTAAACTGGTAGCTCTTGTTTTTGAACAGGCCCCTCATTATGCTACCAATATTAGTGTTGGTACTGGCATGTAATTCCAATAGAACCTCTACTTTCACACTACTTTCTCACAATTTAGGTTTCCTATCACTGTGTCGCTGTTTTGACTCTTGGAAATTTTCTTCACTACACTTAATGTCTAGCAAAGCTTTTAAAACTCTGCTTGTATTTTATCCAGGATCTTATTATATGTTGCAGGAAAGCCCCTTAGACTATCTACTCTGCTATTTTGCTGGAAACAAACCTTTCCTGTGGTAGTTTATTAGAACAATTTTTATATGGTACAATAAATTCCAAAAACTAAATTTATTTTGATTGTGAATATATTAAATTTGCAAATTAATAAAGAAAACTAACATTGTGCACTTATGTATTTTTTTCTATTTATGTTTCCTTTTATGTCTCTCATGTGTATGCTTTTCTTCATATAAGCCTTATATGTTTCTTATCAAATTCATGACTGGATGTTCTCTTGGTTGGTTTTTCTTTTTGGTTGTTGTCATGATCATGACCTTATTATCATATGTAATAAAACTTTTAATTTTGCACATTAATTTCATAGCAAAGCATCTTATTAAAATTTCTTACATTTCTAAAAATATTCACTTGAAAAAAATAAAAATATTCAGTTGATTTTCTTAGTTTCTCTAGACATTTAATTATATTATCTACAAATGATAATGTCTTTAAAATACTAGCACCTTTTGTTTTGCCTTTTTGTCTACATGAAGTGGATATGGTCATCACAAGCCTATATGTTCATGCTCTAAAACATTCCAAGATAAAAGATAGCTGTGCAATGTATGCTAAAACTACACATAAAACAATTGACTAAACTCTTCAATAGCTGATGCTTAAGTTTTCTAGATTCTACTATAGAGACATGGTATGCCAAAAAAATTGACGTTATACTGGTTTAGATTTTAGACACAGCATCTGATTAAATTAATGTCATTCTGAATTTGATCTCTAGAAAGACTTGTGGCTTGGAATCTCAAAAAGGATGCTAGACTCTTATAAAAAGT